AGGTGCTGGGTCTGGTTGATATGGAGATAAATATTCTCTAATACATAGTAACCCTCAGAAGTTTTCCAGCCCCTTCAGTGCCATCAATGGTTATGGAAGGTAAATAGTTATGGTTAGGAAGATTGCTTTGACACTGCAAATTAGGCATTCTCCACCCATCACCCACCTCCCTGCCCCAAGAGTATGAGTTTTTATCTCTCCTATACCAGAAAATATATTGAGCACTGATACCTTATAAGGTCAAACTCTGTAAAAATGTTTTGAGTGAATTCTACCTCTGGGTTAGAGCAATCAAAATAGTGCTGAGGGATAACACCAACTGGAAACCAGTAAGTCTACCACTCCCTATGAAAATTGGTAACTGTCAAACAATATAAATTACCTGGGGGTATAAGTAAATAGGAGAAACTATCCAAGCACTGTACCAAGTGGGTATTATATGTCCTGCCCATTGTACTTTCAACAGCCTGATATGGCTAGTAAATAAGCCAGAAGGCTCGTGGCTGATGACCACGGACTACTGAGAATTGAATAATGTAGTGTTCCCAATCCATGTGGCTTTGCCCAACATTGCCACCATCTTAGATGCCTTGTCCCCAGTCCTAAGAGCATATCATGCAGTATTGGACTTAGCAAGGGTTTTTTCTCTTTGTTTCTCTGGGTTGTTTTTTTTTTTTTTTTTCTCAGTATACTCCTAGCTGCTGAGTCACAAGATCAATTTGCCTTCATGTGGGAGGGGCAACAATGGACTTTTCAAGTGCTTCCTCAAGGCTACCTGCACAGCCCTGCAATATATCATGGGGTGACAGGCAAGATCTGAGAGTCATCTGGTTGGATAAGATGTGGGTTGTACCAGAAGCTGTGATTGAGAGAAGGTGTCAAGGTACCAAGTACTATAAAGGTATGGAAGTTTTGGGATCAACATGCTATGCTGCTGAGAATACCACGTTCATCATACCTAGGAAAGGAATTATCTATTGGAATTTGCAATGAGATGTCCTACAGGGATGGGTGAGTTACTAAGCACCCCTGGGCGAGGGGGAACTACCCAACCTCTAAGAACATGAAAGATGTACAAGCCTTTGTAGAGATTTGGAGGTTTTGAAGGAAGTTTATTCCCCACCTGGCAGTGGCATTGATCCAATTCTGCCTTGACTCACACTCCCACTTTGATTAAGTGACATGCCTGTTTACAGCAGAGGAACAGACATGTCTGCCAGCCCACTGTCTCTAGGAATGCAGGTGCTACTAGGCACTGCAGAGGATGTAGATCTTCCAAATGTTCCTGCCCCTATTTCTGTGTTGGCTACAATGGCCTATAGAGAAGGAAGGGGGAAGATTCCTAGTGACTGATCTAGTCAGGGCTATCTAGCCAGAGACTGCTGTTGTTATTCAGTCCAATACTGACACCATCTGGATGGAAACAAGAATAAACCACGGCAGCCAGTGGGCTAAACTCATTAACAGTTTGGCTGGCGATCACTTTGCCTTTAACTCTTTGCACTGACAGTTGGATTGTTGTTCTAAAGGGATTAACTCTTTAGCTTGGACAATGGGAACGTGAGGGGTGAATGATCATGAATAAGCCCTTGTGGAGTCAGGATATGGGGAAACACATTTGGGTTTACCTGCAATAGCCTGAGGCAAACCTCACTGCCTTCTGTGTCTTGATTCCTAAAGGCACCGACACCTGGCCATCAGGAAGCTCATGCTCAGGCTTAGGTAGGAGGCATAAACTGACCCTTAGTAAATATAGCAGATTGGTTGCATAGGAAGAACAAGCACCATAGTGCCTGGGTGGGATGGTATATTACCAAAGATGACACATTGCCCTTGAAATACAGTGACTTGTTTAATGCAGTAACAGCATGTTCTGTGGGTTCTAAACAATGCCTCAGGCAACTGCCAAAGGAGTCTGGGGCAGACTTCCCAAAAGACAGCAATCCCAGGCAGTGAGATAGTGACAAATTTTGGCACCCTACCTCCTAGGGGGCTTCTAAACATACCTTTGTTTGTGTGGACACTGCCTCTGGCTTAATTAACCTCAGCTTCCCTCTGTCTCTGTGCAAACTAGGCTGTTGCTGTTAGGGGATTAGAGAAGCTGAGTATCATATATGGATACCCTCGTTGAGTAGATTGTGATTGGGGGTTACATTTCAAAGGTTGTGTTGTGCAAGACTGAGGAAAAGAACATGGCATTGAATAAAGATTTCATCTCCTCTATAACTCCAAAACAACAGGTTTGGTAGAAAGGAGAAAATGAAATATTAAAGCAGCGGTTTGAATTACTAACAGGCAAAACTACTTTGGCCAGGTGGACTAAAGCACTGTTGAAGCTTTAGTACAATTTTATGGTCAACCAGTAGGCCCTATTGCCCCATATGACAGACTGGGGACCCCTGTCAAGGTACCAAGTACTATAAAGGTATGGAAGTTTTGGGATCAACATGCTATGCTGCTGAGAATACCATGTTCTATCATACCTAGAAAAGGAATTATCTATTTGAATTTGCAATGAGATGTCCTACTGGGATGGGTGAGTTACTTAGCACCCCTGGGTGAGGGGGAACTACTCAAGTAAACATCCTGAGCACTCTAACCCCCAGCCTAGAGGACTGAGTAAATCAATGGTTGTGACGCTGGGGCTCTCGGTGGGGGGAAAAAAATGTTGGGAATCATTATCTTAACCTGTGTTTTCACATGTGTGTGCCTATATTGTTGCTGTGACCTCTGCCTCAGTGCAGCCAGATAGCAACCAAATGAACCACTTCCATGCTAATAAAACCCTTGCCAAATTCATAGGGCACATTGCAGAAGAGGGGGACTATGTTAGATTGTAAGAGCTGGTCAAGATGGGTGAAGTGTTGGAGGAGATCATCATGAAGACATGACCACCAGCTGACAGGAGAATGGGACCTGGGCAATCGGAGGCTCCGAACCCCTCCCTTGTCTTTGGAATGTACACTGCACCTACTATTCCCACACTAGGAGCTGTTTAAAACAACAGCCTTGAGAGAGTAAAGGGTTGTTGAGACTATTAGACTGCATATGCGACTGAACCCAATTGAGGTCTCTATATAAACTTTTAAGATTCTTGTGGGCCTGTGCAAGGATCTACTTGTCTTGTGCTTCCCTTGCTTATTACACCTGTCACCTACCATACTGGAGTGGTCTGCTTCTTTCCTTGGGCTCTCCTTGCCCTCCATGTTAAGTGGCATGTTTGTGAACCACTAGGTAACCAGAGAGAGTTTTGTATATTTGGAGTTTACACAAGAATATCTCCATGTTTAATGTCAAAATTTATTTTGAAATTATCTATTTTAATCTGAACGTGATGTTTATAAATTGGTATTATTTGAATCAGTGTAAGAGATTTTCATTACTGCTCAGTATTTATTATTGTAAATGCAAGTTTGAAACAAAACATGAGTTTTGTATTTTAAAGCTATTTGATTATTTAAAACTTCTGATTCCCAGCTGAGTTTTGGTAAAATTTCTAATTATGAAATCAATATCAATTAGAAAAAACACATGATATATTTTTAATGTTTGCTATTATAAGCCCAAATTTCTTTCCAAAATTATTTTTCTCATTTTCTTCTATTTTTACTATGTTTTTTTCTGTTAACTCTCCATAACTTTTCTTTCTTGTCATCTTCCTTTTAAATTTTATTCTTATTATCCTTAATATTTTACATAAACTCATCATCATCCTTGTATGTTTATTCTTCTATTGTTTTCATTTTCCTGAAAACACCAGTCTTGTAACAAATTCCTTTAAATATCTAGATAATAGACACCTGATTTGGCAAATCTTTCTTCTGATTTTAAGTACTTTTTTTTATGCCAAACTCCATTTTCATCCTTTCAAACAAGTGGATCCTTTATAGCCTACAAAGATGGACTGAGATAATTTTTCATAAGCACAATAGTCATACTGTTTCACATTAAGAAATAAGACATTTTATTTGCCTTGGAAGCCTCTTAGAATGAAATTTTTTCATTGAAATTATTCATCTTTTGTTTTATCTAAATTGAAACTTTAATTTTTTTCTCTTCATTCTGTAAACATATTATTTACTTCAAAAAGTAAACCAAATAAAAGAAAAATAGTATGTGAATATGAAAACATTTATTTTACATTATGTTGAGTATTAAGATTGTGAAAATCAATTTCATTCAAAACATTTTCTTATTACCAAAAATATACACCAAAAAAAAAGTAGTTTCAGCAATGTACACAAACATAATTTTCAAGTTGACATTGGAACATACTGGGTTTTAACAAAGCATAAAACATATGTTGTGACTATAGTTGTTGAGTAGGTGCTAATTTCACCTGCAAGTGTAACTATGTACCATACTTTAACAGAAATCTAGATGGGAGACAGTATTAATAGTTGTTAAGACCACAGTTTTGATCTTAACAGAACTGTTCCAAGTTCTGACTTTTCCACTGTGATTTAATTCAAATTATTTTAGTTCTCTGGGCCTTACTTTAATTGGCAGAAAAATGGAGATTTACAACCACAGACTATCATAAAGATTAAACAATCTTTTATACACAAAGTATTTAACATAGTGCCTGGCTCATAGTGAGTGTTCACTGAATGGTTGCTAATATTATCTGGCCATTCAAATATACTTGATCAAAATGAATGAAACTGTACAAATCACAAACAAAATTAATTCCATTTAATACCATTACTAGTATTTTGCTCAGAGGAGGTGATACAGTGAGTTATTAATGTCTCTGGGTGAAACAAAATAGGAAATGGTAGGGGTTGTGGATGACCCATTCTTTTATTTTAAAAGCTGGAAAAGCGTTTTAAAATGTATATTAATCTTGTCATTAGCAATAGCTTTCTTTTCAGTATACTTAGAAGAATCATTATTCAACAAATATTCTTTGATTGCCTATTATGTACTGGGCTGTGTTTACCTACCATGCAAAAGGAAATACCTCCTTTTTATGCTCTGAATACTTTCCTTTTCCACAGACATTTCCACTGGGCCTAGGAGATGGGCAATTCTATGCATGGACAGATGGTTTGAGAAGAAAGGACTGGCATGACTATGAAAGCATTCAGAAAGAGGCTATGCGCTCAGGTATGAAGTTCAGTGTAAGCCAAAGTGCTACTTTACTTACTTCAGTGTCTCATTTGTCACTTAAAGGATCTCTAATTAGCATTTCTTCTGCATACAGTAAGGTATGTCTCATGGGGATATTGGAATCGATGCTGGACAGAATTAAAACAATTTCAAATTTCAGAGAGAAAACAAATAATGAATAGCTTTTACAATATTAGCTGAAGAAGAGGACATAGAAGTTTTAGAAATCTATAATACTTCATATTTCTGAACTGCTTTTTAATAATTCCTGGGGCTATATTGAGATTTATCAGTGAGACTTGACTTGGTAGACATCTGTCTTGAGCTTGATTCATTTGTTAGGGCCAAGGAATATCTAAATGACAATGCACAATATTGGAGGGGTACCACAATTCTAGGCATTGGAGAGGGTACAGCAAGTTGGTGGATCAGAGAAGCTGGGGACCTGAGGTTGACAATACTTGAGCAAACAGGCAGGCAATTAAAAAAGAATCAATTAGGTCTGAATAGGTGCAGCAGAAGTCTAGTCTTGGGCTACACAGACATAGAGAAAACATTTTACTTTTTGGAAAAAGTAACAGAAAAATTCTTTGTAGAAAGACTGTAAAATTGGGTTGTTGGTAACAGGGATTCAGAAAGGTATATAATTAGAAATCAAATGAACATGAGTAACATTTGGTAGGAAGTCCATATGCTTTTACTCAACTGGAGGAGCTCTGTTTTTTGCATTTTTTTTGTGTGGTTTCTTTTCTGTTTTGTTTTTTTCCATGGTAAGGCTGTCATAGAAATAGAGAAGCTCTTGTTTAGTAAATACTTCTGAGCAGCACTGAGACAATGCATTCCAAGTCAAATCAGCAGCAAAACTATGACTAATCACAGAATGAGGTCCTCCTGGTCAACCTTTCTCAAAGCTCATCCCATCAGGAAAATCGGAGTGAGAGTATTTAAATAGCTATGCAGTTGTTCAGGCTGTGAATTGTTCTTTGTTCTGAGTTGGCTGTGATTGACCTAATTAAATTCCTCTTTCATTTTCTTCTTCCATTCCTTTTCTCCAAATGAAGCTCCTCTCTCCCCCCAACTTCATTAAAGTTGCTCATCCCAAGGATGTTCTCTATTTGTCGGAGAACCAGACTCTTCCAGGTTTCATTGTCTCCCCATCTTGGCCACGACCCTGTGAACGGTTGTGCAAGTGAGTTCTTTACCAGCATTCTCACTTTTCCGGCTATCTTTTTCTTCTATTTGGTCTATTAGCCCTATATGAATCCTACCATCTGTTTCTCTTTCTAACCCCAGGATGCTGAAATTTTTGGAGATGTTCACATAATTTAATGAACTGAAGCTGCAATTTATTGAACAGATATTTTGTGCTAGATACTATTACATATGAATTTTATTTAAACTTCGTAATGACTCTAGTAGGTATTATTACCCCCAATTTGTAAGAAAAAGAGAAAAAAAAAGAAAAAATATAGAACTGAGTCAAGAATTTATTAATTAATATCCAAGGTTAAACAGCTAATAATTTGCAGAGCTAGATTAAAAATCAGTTCCTGTCATGCTCCATTACATCCTACATTCAGACATCAAATAATAATATTTGGGCAATATGGAGTAATGACAAGAGCATCTATGAGAGGAAAAGACACAGTTGAGTTCAGATTCTAACTTTTCTCTACATGAGCTGTGTAAGTAGCAAATCAATTTATCTTTCTGATACTACTCTTTGCAGAATTGCTGTACGGACTAAAGAAAATATACCTAAAGTAATTAGCCAATTATTTGGACATGTTATAAACTCAACTAATGATAACTATAATTATTAATTCATCTAAGTTTCTTTCACTTGATTTGGTATGACTAACCTTCTCTTGTGCTGATGAGTTTTGGATGCAAAATCCAGTACTCCACATTTATTTCTGCTTCATATAACTCTTTCTGCATCCTGTATAAACATGCTGTTGATGTCCTCATCTTATTTGGGCCAAGGGAAAGTTGGCCTACAAAGAAAATTGGTAATATAACAAATTTTCTAAAGTGTGAATTTTCTATGTAGTTAAAAAAACTTTCAGTGCTAAGATGTAATATGATTCACTGGAAGATATATGACAAAATAGACTGAAATTCATCATTTTTTAATTTATATGAAATAGAACATAAATAAAAGGGTTATATGCACACAAATATACAAGCAAGTACATAATCAAAATAAACATTTCTGGCCTTTATATCTAAGCCAAGGAAAAGGATCATCTGTGTAGATTTTTACTACCTATTTGTGTATACCTAAACAAATACCGTTGCATTTCTCCGGTGTTTGGACTTGATCTAAAAATTGAATCATAATGTATGACTTTCTTTCTTTACTTAAAATTATTTTTGAGATTCATTTCTGTCAATGGGTGTAATTCTAGTTGATTCATTTCTACCATTGTTTAATTTTCTACAACATTCTCTTCTTCATGCGATATGGGGAGTTCCTAGGTTTGGCTGTTATAAATAATGTTGCTATAAATATTTTTGTACATGGTTCTGGTGTGGAGGTTAATTAAATTAAGAGATAGTTGACTATTTTTCAATTTTGAATCATCCATTCTATATTATATTTATTTGCTGCTTGTTTATTATCTGTAGAGATGTGTTTATATTATATTCTTAGATTTTTTTTAGTGTTATTCCTAGAAAACTAATGTTATATGGGTATTATACGTGTTATTGATTTTATTGAAATTCCATATTGTTTGTAGGTAGTTTATAGAGTGTTAATAAATTTTAATATTTATTTGAACTTAGAAAACTTTTTTAATTTTTTAATTGTTATGTTAATCACCATACATTACATCATTAGTTTTTGATGTAGTGTTCCATGATTCATTGTTTGTGCATAACACCCAGTGCTCCATGCAGAATGTGCCCTCTTTAATACCCATCACCAGGCTAACCCATCCCCCCACCCCCCTCCCCTCTAGAACCCTCAGTTTGTTTTTCAGAGTCCATAGTGTCTCATGGTTCGTCTCCCCCTCCAACTTATTCCCCTTCATTCTTCCCCTCCTGCTATCTTCTTCTACTTTTTTTTCTTAACATATATTGCATTATTTGGTTCAGAAGTACAGATCTGTCATTCAACAGTCTTGCACAATTCACAGCGCTCACCATAGCACATACCCTCCCCAATTTCTATCACCCAGCCACCCCATCCCTCCCACCCCCCACCTCTTCAGCAACCCTCAGTTTCTTTCCTGAGATTAAGAATTCCTCGTATCAGTGAGGTCATATGATACATGACTTTCTCTGATTGACTTATTTCACTCAGCATAACACCCTCCAGTTCCATCCATGTCGTTACAAATGGCAAGATCTCATTCCTTTTGATGGCTGCATAATATTCCATTGGGTATATATACCACAATTTCTTTATCCATTCATCTGTCGATGAGCATCTTGGCTCTTTCAACAGTTTGGCTATTGTGGACATTGCTGCTATAAACATTGGGGTGCATGTACCCCTTCGGATCCCTACATTTCTATCTTTGTGGTAAATACCCAGTAGTGCAATGGCTGGATCATATGGTAGCATTATTTTCAACTGTTTGAGGAACCTCCATACTGTTTACCAGAGTGGTTGCACCAGCTTGCTTTCCTACCAACAGTGTAGGAGGGTTCCCCTTTTTCTGCATCCCTGCCAACATCTGTCGTTTCCTGACTTGTTAATTTTAGCCATTCTGACTGGTGTGAGGTGGTATCTCATTGAGGTTTTGATTTGGATTTCCCTGAGGCTGAGCGATGTTGAGCACTTTTTCATATGTCTCTTGGCCATTTGGATGTCTTCTTTGGAAAAATGTCTGCTCATTTCTTCTGCCCATTTCTTGATTGGATTTTTTGTTCTTTGGGTGTTGAGTTTGATAAGTTCTTTATAGATTTTGGATACTAGCCCTTTATCTGAGATGCCATTTGCAAATATTTTCTCCCATTCTGTCGATTGTCTTTTGGTTTTGTGGACTGTTTCTTTTGCTGTGCAAAAGCTTTTTATCTTGATGAAATCTCAATAGTTCATTTTTCCCCTGGCTTTCCTTGCCTTTGGCAATGTTTCTAGGAAGAAGTTACTGCAGCTGAGGTCGAAGAGGTTGCTGCCTGTGCTCTCTTTTAGGATGTTGATGGACTCCTGTCTCACGTTTAGGATGTTGATGGACTCCTGTCTCACGTTTAGATCTTTCAACCATTTGGAGTCTATTTTTGTGTGTGGTGTAAGAAAATGGTCCAGTTCATTCTTCTGCATGTGGCTGTCCAATTTTCCCGACACCATTTGTTGAAGAGACTGTCCTTTTTCCACTGGACATTCTTTCCTGCTTTGTCAAAGATGAGTTGACCATAGAGTTGAGGGTCTATTTCTGAGCTCTCTATTCTGTTCCATTGATCTATGTGTCTGTTTTTGGGCCAGTACCATATTGTCTTGATGATGACAGCTTTGTAATAGAGCTGGAAGTCCGGAATTATGATGCCACCAGCTTTGCTTTTCTTTTTCAACATTCCTCTGGCTATTCAGGTTCTCTTCTGGTTCCATACAAATTTTAGGATTATTTGTTCCATTTCTTTGAAAAAAGTGGATGGTATTTTGATGGGGATTGCATTGAATGTGTAGATTGCTCTAGGTAGCATTGACATCTTCACAATGTTTGTTCTTCTTATCCATGAGCATGGAACGTTTTTCCATTTCTTTGTGTCTTCCTCCATTTCTTTCATGAGTATTTTATAGTTTTCTGAGTACAGATCCTTTGCCTCTTTGGTTAGATTTATTCCTAGGTATCTTATGGTTTTGGGTGCAATTGTAAATGGGATCAACTCCTTGATTTGTCTCTCTTCTGTCTTGTTGGTGTATAGGAATGCCACTGATTTCTGTGCATTGATTGTATATCCTGCCACTTGACTGAATTCCTGTATGAGTTCTAGCAGTGTTCGGGTGGAGTCTTTTGGGTTTTTCACATACAGTATCATATCATCTG